CTCAATTTTGCTTTTGTGATTAAATGTTTAAACTGTAAATGTGACTACTTGAATTCTTCTTTCTTTTTTACGACCTAATTTAATATGAGTATAGTTTAAAAAAAAATCGAGACAGATGTAATGAATCAACTATCATTTTTAATTCTTATAATTAGTTAAAATGACTTATATTATAAATAAAAAAGATTGGAAGAGTATTTTTTTTTGAACTAGTTATTTAAAATAAATAATGCGTGTTTGTTTAATTTTCAGCCAAAAAAAAAATATAAGACGGGCCCTTTTTTCATTTCGTCTTAAGGTGGCGATCAAGGTATACTAGAATTTCATCAAGTGAGAACAATGATCCTAATCATAGAGACTGCCGCGCAATTAAAGTGCCAACTACTATCGCACCAATATACTACCTTCTCTTCTAATTATAAGAGTTAGTTGACTAATTTAAAGAGATTAAGAAAGTAAGTTGAGTTAGTTATTTGTCCTAAATAAGTATTATCTTTCCTAAAATATTCTTACTAATCAAGTGTATTGACTAGAACTATAATTACTAGAAGGACTAGTTTGAAAAAAATTGAGTAAATATGAGAGATAAAGTGAATTAAGATCTTATATTTAGAACCAAAATAAAAAGTAAATAATATTTTATATTAAGGACCAGGGGTAGTATATCTGAACATTATTATTAATGACGCGACTTCTATAAATTCTTGAACTTGTATATTACCATAATTATCAGTTTACTCAAAAGTCTAAGATGCAAATCTTACACTAAGGTTGTGTTTGGTAAAAAATATTGAAAATGAGGGATTAAGATTAGGATTATAATTGAGAAAATCTATTAAAAGAGTATTTAGTATAAAAGATTACTTGTCATTCCTCTGATTCTTAATATAAGACCCATTTAACTAATTTGATTAGATTAAGGAAGTTAGATAAGTTAGTTAATTATAAGAAATGCGATACATTTTTTCTAAAACACTATAATCATCTTCCTTGATACTCCCTTTCCTTCTTCTAGTTGATTATGGTTGAAAGAGTATCCATATGGGTAATTTAAATAAAACTGATAAATATGACAAATAGGTTTTATATTTAGAACTAAGGGTGTGTTTGGATAGAAACCAAACCATGGTTTCATAAGTGCTTTTACGGATTACGAAGTAAATATGTGGAGGAGATTATCTCGTTTTGCGGAAAAGTGCTTCTGAAACCACGGTTTTGGGATACCCAAACAGGCCCTAAAATCAACTCAATAATTGAATCTTATATCAAGGCCTGGAGGAGTATATAGGTTTAGCCCAACCTATATATGCAGTGTAACAAATGACACATGTCGTACCACTAGATTAAAAAGTCTTCGACCAATAATGTCCTACATTGCAACACCACGAATCTCCTTTCAATTTGCTTTCCTTCTCGTATCCCCCCTCCTTGCTTCTACATAATTTCCATTTCGTATAAACATGTTTCTTTTTTGCCTTCTACCGCTTTCCCATTTTCCATTGCTAAAGAGAAACATGCAAGTGCATCTCATATACTACTTTCAGTCTTTAATATAATAACTAGTTGACTAATTTGATTAGATTAAGAAAATTAGTTAGGTTAGTTATTTGTAACAAATAGGTGTTGTCTTTTTTAAAATGTCTTTGCTAATTAAGTGTATTAGTTAGAACTATCATTACTCAAAGACTATTTTAGAAAAATAAATAAATAAATACGAGAGACAAAGTGAATTAGAGTCTTATATTTAATACTAAATTAAGAGTCAAACTATCTTTTATACTACCTCCGGTCTCTAATATAAGACCCTGTTTGACTTTTATTTTGGTTCTAAATATAAGACCCCAATCCTCTTTGTCTCTCATATTTATACATTTTTTTCTCAAAGTAGCTCTTCTAACAATGATAGTTCTAGTCAATACACTTGATTAGCAATGATATTTTAGGAAAGACAACAACTATTTAGGACAAATAACTAACTCAACTTACTTTTTTAATCTCCTCAAATTAGTCAACTGACTCTTATAATTTAGGACTGGAGGTAGTATTAAGGATTAGAGATAATATGCATATATATATATATATATAATTGCCGGACGTTCAAAACGCATGCTTATTAATTATTTGAACAATTAAAACTAAGGAGGGAAAATAAAATTCTGTTCATCAATACACTTGCCTTCAGGAATTTCAGAAGCAAAAGCCTCTACTGTCCTCTCGTTACATCAATACGCCTTTGTTTTTTTCGCGTGGCTACCCCGTTAGCTCGGTTGAAGAGTGAGGAATATGTACGTGTTGGCCCGAAAAGAAATGGAGATGGTTAGCCTACCAAAGTGTAAAAGTCCAGCCCAGCTCAAATAGGCTTGAGCCCTAACATTGGGGGTAATGTTTTTGCCCAAAAAGATGTCAGGCTTTTGGCACGGTATGTAAGATGGGGTGTTTAGATGGAATTAAACCATAATTTTAAAAATAATTTTGCGGTATATAAAATAAATATTTAAAGAAAATTGTCTTAATTTATGTAAAAGTACTTTTTAAAAGTGTTTTTTAGAGTTTCCAAATGCCTCTAAATATGCAACTCCATGTACCAATTAAAGTTGAGTGTAGCAGAATACGCTAATTTCTTGTAACATGGTGAACTAATACTCGAATTCCTGCTGTAAGAGGTGTCCACGCATTTGAGAGTGCCTCCTGTAAAGAATACACATATTGTTAAATGATTGTTCCAAAAAACGGGAGACAGTTGAAGCAAGACCCAAAAAAAAAAAAAGGCAATAAAGAGCTTGGGGAAAACAGTTGGAAGCAGCCGTGGCGTGGGTATAATAAATATTGACACCTATAAAATTTGTTCAGTTAATGTTGCTTGAGTCGGGAGAACCAACTTTTTATTTCTTCCATAGAAAGCACAGTACTGAAATAGGGCAATAATTTGGCCTCCGGATAAAGAATTACAAGCAGCACGTCATTTCTGTTGATCGACAGGGTATATGTTTGCTTCCTGGCTTAGACTTGGGATGGCTTGGAAGAAAAAAGAAACAGAAGTGAACAGAAAATAGAAATCCTGCATTGGTGAGAATCCAGGGGTGGGTGGTGTGAGGACAATGTATCTATGTTTGACGTGCATCCCAACATCTGCATATTGGCATGTGATTATTGGAGGAGCACGGCGTAATTACGTTAATACTATAAGCAAACGCAAGATTGTGAATGTGGGTAAACACTTTCTTGTACGCATCATCATATTATATTATATTAACAATGTTCACCTAATTCCATCCATTCACTCACTTACTCACTCGTGAAAAGAGCAACATTACAGCGAAGCTGTAGGCACCGCATTATTACCATATTTAAAAGGGGGTGTTTGGTTTGAGGGGTTTTTGGGGAAGGAAAGGGAAGCCAAGCTTTCCCCCCTCAATTTAGGTTTCTTCCTGAAAGGAAGCTGAAATTTATGATTAATTTGCCCTTCATTTATTATTTATGCAACAAGATGCTTATTTTTACTAAAGAAAAAGCAAAGCCACTCAGTGCGTAGATTTTACTGTAACGAAAAAAACGGTTCCGTCTCTCTGCGTTGTGCCCTCTTCTTCCGGATAAAATTATAGTACGGGTTAGTTTTAAAATTCTATCATCAAAAGTCATTTGCTAATATTATTCTTTATTAATATAACAATTTGGAGGATAAAATGTCAAATTATCTTAACTCATAAATTATTTCACAGGTTGATTTCCAATGTTCCGTCTTTAGAGGACGATCTGAGGTGTAAATTTTGAAAAATAGTTGTCGAACCTATGACATTCACAGAGAATTGTGCGAGTTAATTTACCATGCTCCATTTAAAAATAAAAAAAAGAGAAGGAAATAGCACATTAGCACTTACTAATACGTTTTGAGAAGAAAAGCGTTGAATTCCTGAAAATTACATATAATCATAACTAGACAATTGATGTATTCAAGTAATTTTACTTTTAAATTACATGATGTTTTGAGGATTCATGGTGTTCCGAGGCATCTTGAAATTTGTCAGTTTTGTTCTGGACATTATTGTCATTCTCACAAATGAACAAAAAGACTGAAAAAGGACAATCCATGCGCGAACATGACGTCGCGTCATCGTTAACAGCAAAAACTCAGATGAACAGGTTTTAAACAGTGAACGACCGCTATTAGGGCTGTTCACGGGACGGATCGGGACCGGGACAGGCCCGTCCCGGTTCCGTCCCAATGAACAGTAACGGGACAGATTTTCTGTCCCGTATCCCGGTCCGTCCCGGAGTTGTCCCGGTCCCGGTCGGGACGGGACGGATCCGGGACGTCCCGAACCCTTTTTTTTTTTTAATTTTTAAAATTTTTTTAAATAAAATCTGATTTTTTTTAATTATGTTTTTTTGGGCTTAAACCTTATAAAAACATCTTTTTATTTTTTATTTATTTGTTTGGATACTCTTAAATAAAAACTTAAAATATTACATATAATAATCATTAAAAACTCTAAACAAAAGCTTTTAACACAATAAAAACTTGCTAAAAATTCTAATCATCAATAATCTCAAATCATTAACAAATATAAAAACTCTAAATAAATATATCTATAGTTTCATACAATAGTCTCAAATCTTTAAAAAAATATGAAAAAAATAATATTATATAAATGGGATAAAAAATTAAAAAAAATAAAAAAAGGACCGGGACGGGACGACCCTGTCCCGTGTCCCGTCCCGTCCCGGTCCATTTTTTGTCCCGTCCTGGTTTGTCCCGTCCCGAAAAATTTCGGGATGGATCCGTCCCGTTCCAATAAGACCGGGACCGGAACGGGCCGACCGGGACGGGTCATTCTTGAACACCCCTAACCGCTATAATGCGGTAATAGGCACTGTGCACAGCCCAGCTCACCATCGGAGCTGGTCCCGTCCTAATAAATTGAACTGCTCACCCATTTCTAGCACTTGCCTTCTCGACCTAGTCCATTCACATCATCACATAACTTTGAATCGCTCACAGGTAACACATAAACTCGTAAAGTTTTACGCCAAGCAAATTTCTACAGATCACAATTTGACGAGTAAGATATAAGTTTACAAGACGCCCACAAATTAAATCCGTTTTCTGCAGCAAGTTTAGTTCACAGGTAAATGTTCTTGCTTACATTTCATATGCATCAATTCAGAATTCCGTTTTCTGCAGCAAGTGTAACTACAATCACAGCAGAAACACCTTCCTTTGGATATTTGACTGCCACAACATTCCCTTCAGAAGCCGATCCAATCCAACGAGACACATGCACAGGCTTCTTTTCTTCATGGAACGATATGTCGTACGCTCCGAACTCATCCCATGTTGTACTGGTCATTTGATTCTTGAGGCCTCGGCCTAGCGCCTGCCTATTATATGCACAAGTCTCCGCCTTCATTGCCTCAGATCGTTCTTTCACAAACAAAGAAAACTTGGACCCCATTTTTCTTTGCAGCCTTTTCTCAGCCTCCTGAACACAAAGCCGAGCTGATTCTCTCTCGAACTCGGAGTCTTCAGAAGTGATTTTGAACAATAAGCTTTGACCACCGTTTTTGTATGGTGTACGTCGAATTATGTTTGGTGGAGGAACCTCGGGATTTTTCAGACGAGGATGGTAAAATAACGGGGTTTTTGTCTCTCCATTACGTAGAGCCTCGTTCTTGTGTATGTCTGCCCATTTCTTCAGGAAATTATCAACCACCAGAAAATCTGCCAGCAGCAGACTGCAGCTGATGCCGATGGAATACCCTCCACACTTGAAGTTGGTCACCTGAGAAACACAGTCATCTCATCTCAGATTTACAGCGTTTAAATAAAAATATATTGATGACGAAGGGAGTGTATCTTGCCTGAACATAAAACAGGGGTGAGAACTCAGGGCTCTGCTCGTCGATATCCTTCCAGAAGACAAGGTCGTGCTCAAGATTATGCCTGTCGCTGGATTCAAGAAAGTCAGAGAGAGCAATGGAGATTCGAGCCTCCGCCATTCGAATGCCACAATCATTAGAGACAATTTCCATTTCCGTGTCACCACCCTCTCCTTGATCAGCCTTCTTCTGGAGCCGGCCGGCGAGCATTGGGTTCTCCGAGAGAGCTATGCCCAGCGACTCCACGATCCACCCAGCAAGAACCCATCCAAAGCCCTCTTCTTCGTTCACATTCTCATAGTACATAACCACTTGGTAACACCCGCGGAGCTTTCCTGCGTCGATGTTGGGATCACTCACCAAAACTCGGCGAACTCGCCGCGGTACTGTTATCTTCAACGGAGGCACGGTGATCACGGCTTCATATTGTAGTTTGGGCATATCCATTTTTTGCTTCTCTCAACAAGCTTGGTCTGCGGTTCGTGGTGTCCTCTGCTCTGAAACAGGGGCGGGCACCGGGCAGTGCATTTATAAGGAAAAAGCTTCAACCAGTTGAACCATGAGTAGTTGAATTACCAATACACCCCTGACTGATCTGGCAAAGTAATCTATGCTCGGTCATTTGAGAACCAGTTGTTATATACTCTTCCTCGTTCTATTTATCAGACATTTTTAATATATTCATATATATTAAAAAAAATTTTAAACTATATTAATTTTTTATTAAAATATAATAATTTTTTAACTTTATTTCTATTTAATATGTACACCCTTCAAAAAAAATAACTATCTATAATATAATAAATAAAGGACAATATAATATATTTATGATAAAAATTTAATAAAATCATTTATAAATAAAATATTTTTTATGTTTTATAAATAGGATAAGAAAAATAATTTAGTAGAGTAGTTGAATTTGGCGTCAAGGTTTGTTTTTGCAAAGTGAATTTAGGTAGCTGTGCTCCATTAATATTGTGAATCGTTTAAAGCCAGCGGGGTGCTTTCTTAGTTAATGCTTGGTATGCGAACAACTTGCAGTGGATCAAGTTCCCTCAACGGCTACCCGCCGGGTCATAAATGCAGCTCTTTTATAGTCATTTTTTGGCGTTTGTTTCACAATTCACACTTCTTCCTTCCACAGTCATACTACCTCCGGTCCTAATTATAAGACTCAGTTGACTTATTTGAGAGATTAAGGAAGTAAATTAAGTTAGTTATTTGTAATAAATAAGTGTTGTTATTCCTAAAATATCCTTGCTAATTAAGTATATTGGCTAGAACTATCATTATTAGAAGGATTATCTTGGAAAAATGCATAAATATGAGAGACAAATGGATTGGGGTCTTATAATTAGGACCAAACAAAAAATCAAACGGGGTCTTATAATAAGGACCGGAGGTAGTATTAATTAAGCTCCCGGAGCCACGCTCAAAGTGTCCTTTTAACAAAAATTCAAACAAGTTAATAGAGGCTATGACTAAAATTTAGATCACCGTGTTAAGGTGGATTAAATTTTTTTATCCTATTTATAAATTACTCTTCCGATCTTAATTATAAGACCCAATTGACTTATTTGAGGAAATTAAGGAAGTAAGTTAAGTTGGTTATTTATAATAAATAAGTGTTGTCATTCCTAAAATATCCTTGCTAATTAAGTATATTGGCTAAAACTATCATTATTAGAAGAATTATCTTAGAAAAAAATACATAAATATAAGAGACAAAATGGATTGGGGTCTTATAATTAGGACCAAATAAAAAGTCAAATGGGGTCTTATAATAAAGATCGGAGGAGTACCTTATTAAATTTTTAATATTATATTAAAAATGATAAGTTTAAAATGTTAGTTAAAAATAATAAATATATAAGATATATATTTTGTTGGCAAAATTTTTTTTTTAATTATATTATTCTGGTTCTAAATATAAATCACTTGTAGGTAGAAATTTTGATTCTAAATATAACTCACAAGTGACATGTTTAATATTTATTTTTTTAATGTTTAATTTATTTAATTTTCATTAAAAAAAAAGAAAAGAAAGAAGGGATATGAAAATAAGTTATAAATGTAGACAGGGAAGACTTTAATAGAAATAAAATTAAAAATTTTGGTGAATACTACTTTCAATATTAATTATAAGATCTTATTTATAATATTTATAGTTTATAAATAAAATTTTATAATTAAAACTGGAAGTAATATATCACAAGTGATTTTTTGAGCAAAAGTGGCACCAAGCTTCCAGTCCCTGCCGCCGGCACCATTATGGCACCCCCACGACAGAACATTAATTAGCGGTTGGAGAGACTAATATGTTCTCACCTAATTTCCGATCCAGTTAGGATACTCGTCATTTTGATAAGCACTTTAAATTTATTATATTTGAATCATCAGGACTTAATTTTTTTTAGTTTTTATTTCTTTAAAATAATTATTTTAATATGTATGAAATCTAAAATAGAGATAATCTCTTAACTATTATTCTTTTAAAAAAATAGTTTTTTCTATTTAAAAATACTTAGTTAAGATTTTAAATAGAAACTATTCAAATCAAATATATACAGTCGAAATCTGATGAGCCAAGAGTGCTTGAGCATTGTTTCCCTAATCTCTTTCCCCTTCAATGCAATCCCGCGGACAAATAGAATCAGTTTCAATGCTTATCGCTCTGATAAGCACCTTAAACTTATCAAATCAGAACTGTTATATCTGAATTGAACAATTCAGATTTAAAATCACTAATTAAATATTTTTAAATAAAAAAACTATTTTTTTGAAAAAAATGATAGTTAAGAGATTATCTTTATTTTAGATTTTATACATATTAAAATAATTATTTTGAACAAATAAAAAAAATCAAATCTGAATTAGTCAAATTAAATCTAATAAGTTCAGTGTGATTACCAATACTAGTTCCACGGACAAACAATTCCAAGACATAAAAGTGGTTTCTCTTTATCAAGGGAAATAAATACTGTCGCGTTATCCCTACAACCAATCAGACCCCAAAATATTAATTGCATTTAATGTTGTGTATCGTGCCTATTACTTTCAAATATATTACCACCAAACGTACGTAATAATCTGAATTACGAGTATATTATAAATGAATAAGCCAGATCAAATACACTTGTTTGACAGAGACCTTAGAGGAACAAGCTTTCGTCCATCGCATTTCAGGCTTTCAGCATCATCCAGGCACAAGTTTGAATAACAACTCATTGGCAATGAAATACAAGCAGGCAGCTGTGTAAACTATGGATTCAAAATGATTCTTTAGGCCAGTGGCCTTGTTAGCCCAGAGATATGTAAACTATACCTCACAGATGAGAGATTGCAAGTTCAAAATTTCATGGCTGTTATAAAGTTGACTTAAAGAAATAAGAACCACTCTATTTCTTCAACGCCATGTCCAGAACAAAATATGCTCAACTCAGATTTTAAAGTATTTAATGGTTTATAAGCATTTTTTTAACTGTAATTTATAAAATACAAGATAAATACGTGATAAAAAATTTCATCTTGATTTAAGTAAAACGGGTAGTACACGCTATGTTGTTGCATGTTTTGCGTTTAACACCAGCATTTTCCCCCAGCTATTATTCATTATCGTTCTTCATGCGTACAATCATGTGAATATCGCACTGCTCCTCCAAACAGAAAGGTCACTAACATGAGCTCTGGGAGGAGGCAGGCTGAATTGGGTCCACTTGAACTTCATTCACTTCGGGTACCTAACCAATAAATGATTTCAGATCTCAAGTTCCAGACATACAGAGATACGTATATTCCAACCATCCCAAAAAAACAAAAAATTCATAAAATCATTTGTCTCATTGGGCATCAATATTTTATAGGTGGGAAGAGACCGTGAAGTCGTGAACAAGCCCCTCGTGTTTTACTCTGGCGTTAAAGGGGAACAACAAAAGTTCAGCTCAGCATTGAAAAACTATCTTTGCCCATACCATACGACAAATTTGAGCTATGAATGGCTCTTTCTGATTGCAGAAAAGGCTCCTTCTGCTGTCATCAAGCAATAACTAGCATACATGCAAACAATCAAAATGTAAGCTTTTTCCTCCTAATCCCAGAGCGATAGATCTGCTAGTCCTTGGATGACAACCATCAAAGAGCAAATATTTGTCATTTACGATGCAGGGAACATTGGAACTCGTGCAAAAAGCCCGATAAGAGTTGTACTGGATTTTCATTCTAGTGTAATGATGTAATCATCATTTTTCTTTGTGCCTCAAGGACACAGCTAATACTACTCATCCTGGCTAATATTAAATACAACTAAAATTGAAACACCAGTAATTTGACGAAATGAATTCTCCTACATGCTCTATCTCATCCTTTTCCTCCCGTCCAATTTTGTGGATTTCCGATGCTATAAAGATAAAGCCAATCTTGTCTGTGTTCCAGTTCTATAGCAGGGTATAGTTCATGTGATGTTGCCAAGGGCTGCAATCAAACGTCAAATTCTGTCGGCTGTTAAAAAAAGAACAAAGAAAGAGTGGGGCAATTTCAAAGCAACAGAAACACGCTGAATCGATAGAAAGGTACCAAGTATGAGAATCACTAATAAATATGGGAGGAGTCAAAACCTCGGGGATCGGAGTAACGAGAGAGACCTGGGGTGGAGAAAAACCAGAGGATGAGAGCACAGAGAAGGAGGAGAAGGGGGATGACGTGGATTGCATTCTGGGCAGATCTGAGACGGGAGAGCTCCTTCTGAGCAAGGTGGGAGCGAGGATCGTACGTGGGGAGGTCTTGGTCATCGTCGACGGTGGGTCTGAAATTCGAATACCCCGATGAGGATGATGTGACTGAGACTCCGTTGGCACGCCTCAATCTGTTCATCTTTTTCGGCGACGGCGATCCCAGCTATGCCAGGACCCTCAATATTGAGTTGAATGCTTTTCAGTCCAACCACTTTTTTGAGTCCAACTTAGTTGGCTCCTCCGTTTTCAATCATTTTCAAACTTAAACGCAAAAACTGAATTATATAAAAAATCAATACAAATTTTGGTTAGGTTGATTTTGTATATCAAGTTTCAAATAACACATCACTCAAATTTTTTTATTTAAAATATTAATCTTTATAATCTAATAATAAAAGCTGAGATTATTTTGTTATTTAAGAGAGTAAAATTTATATTTTGAAATTTGAAGGATTAAAATAAATTTAAGGATTGAAGATTATATTAATTTTGATATAAAAATTAATTGGGATAATTAGAAGATTAACTGCGCGCGTGGAGATCCAAAATGCGGGATCCGGAGGAGGTCCCAAACTCCCAATCATCGTGACTGTACGGGGCCCTAATGAAAGCCACCAGTTCTGGTTGTTGACCTTCCACGAAGGCCTACGACCGCTTGTTCCACGCGCTTATGACGTACGAGCCCCTCCTCACTTTTTTTTTGTGACAACCCTTCCTCATCCTCTGATGCTCCGTGTCGTGGCTTCTCTCTTCTTCCTAGCCAGCGGGTGTTTTATATTTTAACCCACCATTTTAAATTTATTAGCAAAAACCTTTTTACAAATAATATACTTATGAGAAAATGGGAAAAAGTCCCAGAAAGAACTTAAATCAAAGTATTAGTATTTTATATGTACAAATTTTGCAGAGTGTTATGTATAAAAATTTATCAGGTTTTTTCACTAGCAAAATTTTATGAGACTTTTTTCCACCATGTGATTTTAATAAAAATACCAATAGTAGCTAAGATTTATATTAGGAAAAATTATAATAAGATCCCAAACAAGAAAAATAATTAAAAAACAAGTCTCAAAGTTGTCATTCTCACTGTAGAACTTATCATTATAGGCCATTGAGGTTGTTATTGAAATATTTTGATAATTATTTTTTTTCTACGAGACTTGATTGTAATTCTCCTTTATATTATGCCGTTCTTCACAACGCGTCTGTGCTGTACACTAGTGGAAGCAGCCTGGAAAAACAGCCGCTCTTCTACTTCTTCTTTTAATTTTCCCCCGAAATCGCAATGACGCTTAGCGCCCAAGTAATTCCCTCCCTGATTCGTTCCTCTCACCTGCCTGAATTTTTTAAAACGACCTTTCCTTATACTTATGTGTGAAAAAATTAAAACTTTAGGTCAGTCCGCCACCTCATTTTCCAACGTTGGAGGGAATCATAATTAATAGCTAGTTAGGTTCTAATTCTGTTAATAAATATTAATAATCATCGTCATCAATGGTACTTACAAGTATATTATGAGAACAGTGACCACTTGCCAACAATATGAAATACGCAATCATATTTTATTGTTTTGCCTATAAAAATATTCCCATATATGTGAGGTGTAATTTCATATCTCCACATGCATCGCAAGATTTGTCTTCGACAGATACGATGATTAAATTACATATATTGGGTTGTAAAATGGGAATCTATACATTTGTCCACACAAAATGGTAGAATGGCAATATGACTCAGCATTTCACTGGCCATAATAATATATGTAAGTGTTTGGCCAAAAAAAAAAAATGCAAGTATATAGTACTCTTCCGATCCTTAATATAAGATCCATTTAACTAATTTGATTAGATTAAGGAAGTTAGGTAAGTTAGTTAATTATAAGAAATGTGACACATTTTTCCTAAAACACCATAATCATCTTTCTTAATACTCACTCTTCCTCTTCTGCTTGATTATGGTTGAAGGAGTATTCATAGGGGTAATTTAGAGAAAATTGATAAATATGAGAAATAGGTCTTATATTTAGAACCAAAACCAACTCTATAATTGGGTTTTATATTACGGACCGGAGGAGTACTATATATTTGTCCCTCCCTAGCCGAAATGTATTAATGATGCATCCCGTAAGCATGATTATTGATTAGTGTCAAGAGTTTATAATCTTGGTCGGTCCTAATCCATCCTTTCCTTTTCCCTGCCAAACTTGCTCCCACTGGTTTATTATAAAAAATTAACTTGAAATTCTTTTTAGCGATTATTACAAAAAGTGTAAGAGTGACGATGATGTGTTAAGAACTCAATTGTATTGCACACTGCACAATGCACCGGGGAGCAAATAGAGCAGCTAAATAAGTAACGACCAATTCGGGAAATGGAAATGGATGCTGACGCGGTACACGTGGCAAGAGTAGGCTTGTTGACACGTTACCCCACTGGTTCCGTTGATTCGTTGAGCTCCGACGTCCAAGGCTCGTTTTAAATCGAGCGCTCTCACACGTTTCCTCGATTTCTCCTTCCGTGGTTGGTTAATATTGTTTCTTCCTCTCCGGCGACGATCTCAGATTCCGCTCATTTTTCCCGCCACCTGACACTTCTCTCTCACTGTTCGTTCCGTATTATCGTCATTTCTTTCCTTTTCAGCGCCAAACCACCATGAATCCTGAGTAGTATGTTCAAATTCCTTCACTCTCCCTGTTCCGGTTTATTTTTATGCGCAGCGTACCTGAATTACATTTAGTCTTTCTTATTTTTCGAGCTTTTCTCTTTTGTCTAGCTCTTATAGATCTGTAATTATTTCTTAGCAAGGGAATTGGAATTTTTACATTTTATGAATTGCTTGTTCTATTTTTTTTAATCTCTCTCTATCCCTGTAATTTAAAGACGCGGATAATCAATTATGTTCCGGACGTTTTGGTGGATCCTGTTCTGAAACTTTCTTTCTGCTTTAGATCTGTTTGTTTGGATGATAGATCCGCTCTGTGCTCTATTGTTTTTGGGCTACTCTGGAAATAGATGTTTTCTCTGATCCGGTTGACATGTTAATGCTACAATCATAGATTGTGGGCGTCTGAGGTTATCGCATCGCAGAAGGTTGCTTGTCTTTCAAGATAGGCCAAATGTAGAAATAGGTTACAATTATTTTGGGGGGGAAAAGGCAGAAGTGAAGATTTTCCTACCGGCAAAAGCATAATAGATTACTGTTATTCAGTAAAAGATGCCAAGTTTTGTATCAGCAAAACATGCGAGTTCTGACATCTGAAGTATTATTGTAAATTTCACAAAACGCAAGAACACTAGCATAAATGGCTCTATTGGGAAAACTTACTACAGGACTAACCGGACATTTTCTTTTTGATTCCTTGGCAAGGATTGATAATTTCATATTGTAACTAGAAACTATAACAAGGTGATCCGTCTGAACTGCCTTCGGATCTACGCTTATGTTTTTCCTAGTTTTTCCCAAACAGCAATCAAGGTAATTTTCCTTAGTGTTTACCATACTCTCCGTTTCAATTTATAAGACACTGTTTGGAGGGATTTCTAAGGATTGGGTTGTTGACAGAGCACGATGGCGTCGTGTGATTCATGTAGCCGACCCCACTTAGTGGGATAAGGCTTGTTGTTGTTGTTGTTTGGAGGGATTTCATGTTTCATAATATAAGATGTTTTGGAGGAAACAATGGCTTATTAATAATCTTATTCCGAAAATATTCTTTATTAATTAAGTGTGAGTTAATTAGGAGTTACGTGTTAAATGAATGTCACTCTTGGAAGTTTTTATTTCTTTGAAAAAATTAAGGTTTCAAAATGTATTTGATGTGGTTGATCAGTATCTGCAATTTGCCCCAAAAACGTCTTACAAATTGAAACAGAGGGAGTACTGATTTCTCATTCTATCTTCTCTTCTGATTGATGTCCTATATGGATAGCGGCCTATATGGTACCCTTACCCAGCCATTGGTTATGTTCTGTTGCACGTATGTTCCAGTGTTGCGTTGATGTTTTGCTAAACATCTGCTTAGTGCAGGAATTGGTAGTTTATAAGACCCCATTGCCACCAAAACTCATGGAAGTAGATATGAAAGAGTGGCAAAAGGGAAGAAAAGGTCAAACTACTGGTCAAGAAAATACAAGGGGTAAGAACCTGACGAGACAGAAAAGTAGCAGTTGTAAAGCTAGGTAGTCATGATGAAAAATGTAAGGGAAGCAGCCAGAAAGTTAGGAGTGGATGTACAAAAAGAGAGGAGTTTGGAAGGACGAAAAGGGGTAGAAGAACTTTAAGTGAGGCTTGGGCATTGGCGTGGAAAGAGCCAAACCTCTTGAATGATTGGCAAACCTGTTATGTTCCATGTTCTAGAGTTTTGTTCTGTTGAGATTGTAGTGCCACTGTTTATTGTTTGTATCCTTCCTCTTTGTGTGTTAGAATCTGAAAGCGTAATCATTTTCCTTCCTTTACAGTTCATTTGTAATTGTAGTAGAGTGGGTTCTGTGTAATGTTCTTTTTAATCTTTGACTGGAGGCATATTCTGTTTTTATGCAGTGATTATTTGTTTAAGCTTTTGCTTATCGGAGATTCTGGTGTCGGCAAATCATGTCTCCTTCTGAGGTTTGCTGTAAGTTCTGAGCTTCTATCTCTTTCTTCTTTCCCTGGGTGATGTGCTTCATGTTAAGCACTCTCTGTGTGAAGTTTTAGTGTGTTTGGAAGTTGGAACAACATTTTCCCCTAAATAAACATGGTTTGGGGTAGGGATGTGCCAAATCAAACACACCTTTAGTCTTCAGAAAGGTTGAACTCTGTAAATAGCACGAGTGACAACCATTTTTAAGCCCAACTGTTGTGCTATTATGGGTATTGGAATCTTTAGCAGGTCATTTATAATGGTGGCTTGTGCAGTGCGTAACAATATTCTTGGTGTTCTGAACTTTTCAATGGAAAATCAATGAAGCTTGCTGATTTTTTCTTTCATTGTAACCAGGATGATTCATACCTTGACAGCTATATCAGTACAATTGGAGTTGACTTTGTAAGAATAATATTTCCCTTTTAAGGTCAAATTCCAGTTATTGAAATACAGCTATGTGACTAATTATTTGCTGTACTCTCTTCTGCAGAAAATTCGAACAGTGGAACAAGATGGAAAGACCATCAAACTTCAAATAGTAAGTACATGATAGCTTTAAAGTTAATTAGATGATAAAATTTGTTTTAGTAGAACTTTCTTTCTTCTCTCAGCACTAATCACTGCTGTCTTGGAATTGTCTGAACTTCATTTATAAAACTTAATTTCAACCAAAACTTCATATTTGAAAACTAGGCAACCAACCTCCAGTAATGTTTCTTGCGTTTCTTGTGCTTATTAAGTGCTACGAACTTATGAAAACTAGGATAAGTACATCACTGTTATTAATCATGTATGCATGGCTATACTGACAACTTCCATTGCTTTGAATATATAGTGGGACACAGCTGGTCAAGAACGTTTCCGTACTATCACTAGCAGCTACTATCGTGGTGCTCATGGCATTATTGTGAGTATTAAACTGGTTGTTCTCCTGCAATTTTCTTACTGGATTGTGTGAGACAGTGGTCTGATCCTGTTGCTTTTTTCCCACCACAGGTTGTTTATGATGTCACTGACCAAGAGAGCTTTAACAATGTCAAGCAGTGGTTGAATGAGATTGACCGTTATGCTAGTGAAAATGTCAACAAGCTTCTAGTTGGTAACAAGAATGATCTCACAGCAAATAAAGTGGTGTCCTACGAGACAGCAAAGGTAAATTTTTCATTGATGGGTTTACATCACACAACGTCATGACAACATCTGGTCAATCCTTCTTTACTTTAAAGGTATGATCCTTGAGCTGCTTTTATTTTTTCAGGCCTTTGCAGATGAAATTGGGATCCCCTTCATGGAAACTAGTGCTAAAAATGCCACCAACGTTGAGCAGGCTTTCATGGCCATGGCTGCAGAAATTAAGAACAGGTACTGTAATATCATCATGTAATGCCATTTAGCTTGCAAGGAAACTATTATCAACTTGTTTATTATTTCTGTTCACAAGTAAAAAAAAAAAAAAAATTGTCCACAAGTCACAAAAAAGAAAAAACTATTTTTTTCTGTTGGTCTAATTTTTTTATTAGTGGCATTTTGGATCGTTTCTTTAGTAGCTATTGATCTGTGGATCTTCTTTGATGTTGACCTTTTTGGCTGTCTCTGTTTCTTTTGCACAGAATGGCTAGCCAACCAATGAACAATGCCAGGCCCCCAACAGTTCAGATTAGAGGACAACCAGTGAACCAGAAGTCCGGTTGCTGCTCAACCTAGAGTCTAAGTATTAGTGGTTTGGACGTTTATATGTGTCTACCTGGCATGTAAAACTAGTTTTTTCCCCTTCTTTCTTCACATAATGCTTAAGATTGTTAATCTTGATTTGCTTCTTGTCGTTATCATATTGTTGAAACTTCCATTCTTTTTAAATGTATTTCATTTCAAAGGAAAAACATTTGTACAAAATTAGGAATATTGGTGAATAGCAGTATTTGCCTTTGCTCTTAGTCGCATTTACACTGGCCAATACAAATGATACCCTCCATTACATGTGTACGTACACAATGTCTTGTGTTGAGTCCATAGGCCGGACAACAGTATGTTAAATTCCCAAAAAAGGAGATATGCAGACTAGGCAGTGTACCCATTGTTGTCTGTTATCGGTTTCTCAATAGGGACTGACTTGTACACATGCCAGTCCTCCTGACAAAGGAAGAAAACCATTTAGCTTTAGAAAGAAAATATAGAAGTCAGGCATTCATTATTTGTTTCTCTGGGCTGGTGTCCTGCAGCATTAATGAAGATGGCAGCTATAGCTTATTTCACAACCATGTGTTGTCTTTGAGGTTTGATTGGACTGACGCCCCGTTTGGTTAGATGAATCCTAATGAAAGAACTTGAATCATGAAGGGTTCCGTCACTTTGGTTGTAAGAAAACCTTCTTCGATGGAACTTCTATCATTTTTATGGGAATGAGAATTCCTGCGTTTTGTTTCATCCTCTACCCCTCAATTCATGGTTTATATCTCATTGAGATTGGCAAAGTAGGAATCTGTAGTTGTAGCACTGTTTTTCTTTTCTGTGTTGACAGCATGGGCAAAAATATATCCTGCAGAGGTAAATTGTTTTGCTTACTGTGTCCATGGTTTCCTTCCTCTGTCCTAACTGCATCAATGTTACCCTCAGTATGAGGCATTGATCTCGAAGTGCTGATTTAAACTCACATGAATATCTGCACGTATGGTATTTGGAAGCATGAATAGTTTGCAAGCATAAATAATCTGAAGGTTAACCCCAGTGTTTTGGTATTTAATAATCTGAATTGAATAAAGTGTGGATTATTTTTTTTCTTCTATGGGCGGGCTGCATAAATAGTACTATATGCTACTGAGATTTTGGTGAGCAAATAGTTCTTTCCAGCCTTCATGCACACGCACATGCTAGAAATAAGCTCGAAGCATGGTCCAAATGACAGATAACTTACATAGTGTGGTTTTCTACCAATTTTTATCATAATAAGATTTTTTTTATTATCATTAGTTTTTATTAATTTTCACATCAGCTAAGCATAATAATTCTCTTAGTATTATTTCAATGATCATGTGTTCAGCCGGCAAGTGTCACAAAAAGTCAAATAACCAAGAAAAACAATAAACATTGCTTGGGATCTATTTTGGGTGGGGGGGGGGGGGCTAACGTCGTTATAGATTGGTAAAAAACTAAAAATCATAATATCTGCTATGTTCTTAATTTATTTAATTTGTTCAAGAATTAGACCTTAATATTGTTTGAACATATCACTGCGCTTAATAGTTATTCTTCTTCTTCTTTAAATAAATGATCTGAAGAATGTGAATAGGACACCATGATATAGGCACAGGGAATACTTCTTTTTTTTGGGCTATTGCCCAGTGTCAAATATAAACACCCTTACATTTTGAATTATTCCTTTAGTCCCTAATATAAGACCTATTTAACTAATTTAATTAGATTAAGAAAGTTAGATAAGTTAGTTAATTATAAGAAATATGATATGTCTCTCCTAAAACATCATAATCATCTTTCTTAATAACCTTCCTCTTTTTTCTACTTGATTATAGTTGACAGAGTATCTACAGGGATAATTTAAAGAAAAATGATAAATATGATAAATAAGTCTTATATTTAGAATCAAAATCAACTAATACTTAGTTCTTATATTAAGGATTGAAGGAGTATATTCTAATAATGGACACAGCTAGGTGAAGACAGCAGCATCTTCATTTCATCTAGACGCAGGTGTGTAAAGAATGGATAACGAATGATGTTAGGTGGGATTTTATATATACTACTTTTCTTGTTCATTAAAGTTAAAATAGAAAATGATTGGAAAAACTTGGTATTTTTACTTGCTTGTAAGTTTCAATCTAATGGCTTCAATATACTCATGTCTGCTACATATTGTTACCTCTGATTTTTAATATGAGTTTGTAGTTCAATTATTTAAACCACAAGCTAAATCTTATACTACCTCTAATCCTTAATATAAGAGTTAATCTATTAATTTGAGTAGATTAAGAAAATTGATTAAGTTAGTTATAAATAGATATTGTCTTTCTTAAAATATTATTACTAATCAATTATATTGGTTAGAATTACCATTATTACAAGAACTATTTTGAGAAAAAATAGATAAATATGAGAGACAAAATAGATTAGAGTCTTATATTTAATATCAAAATAAAAATCAAACAAACTGTTATATTAGACACCAGAGGTAGTATTAAGAATCAAGAGTGGTATCATTTATTAGGTGGCTTTATACTTTTGGAGGTTGATACGCTATTATAGTTGCCTGGAAACGTTCAACTGCAAAGCGGAGACAGGTGGAGAGCTTCAAAGGAATCAAATCAGACTCGAATTTGATAATCTAAATTAAACTTCTTTCATAAGAAATGATTTGGAAGGATTTGACTAGTTTTGAATTGTCTAACTAATATGCGCGGAAGCGGTACAAATAAAAATCTGTTTTTTTTTTTCAGAATCGCCTTTTTTTTTTCCGGTCGATATGGATGTGATCACCACATTGGCTGCATATATAGCTCATAAACTTTGTATAAATAAAATATTTTTATGGCAGGGCATCCACTACTATATATATGCACGTAGCTTCGAATCGTTTGTTATTTTAACAGTTTGCATTAATTTATTAGTTCTTATGATTTAAAAGTTCAATAACGGTTTAAAAATATTAAATACAATTAAATCATTTAAATTTAATCAAATGATTAATATGAGATCTGGAGATGAGGTGAACGGGAAAGAAAGTAGAAAGAATAATCTTACTCCAAGTGCAATAAAAACATAAAAAGAAAAATTATGATTTGGGACCTTTTAGGAAGACATAGCTTTTTTTTCCGAATATGAAAATATCATTTAAAGTCGAGGATGGTTTTCTAATCTGAACGAAATACCATGGCCTAAAATGACTTTGAAACATCAATTGCACAGACTAATTTTCATTTGTTAATCTAGATACTTATGTGCGAGTGTGTGTGCATTTTATTGAGAAAAAGGTCGCAATCATCAGATTACTAATAATCAAAACCAGCTAATACCAATCCTTCCCACACGTGAGGATTAGAAACTTCATAGAAATTAACCAAGACCCTCCATAATCTTCAATTTCAGCTACGTCGGGAAATTCAACTCAATGCCCAAAAACGTCCCAAAACCAAATTCAAATACTCCTCCGGTCCTTAATATAAGACCCATTGAACTAATTTGATTAGATTAAGGAAGTTAGGTAAGTTAGTTAATTATAAGAAAAGTGACACATTTTTCCTAAAATACCATAATCATCTTTTTTAATACCCCATCTCCCTCTTCTATTTGATTATGGTTGAGGGAGTATCTATAAGGGTAATTTAGAGAAAATTGATAAATATGAGGAATGGGTCTTATATTTAGGACCAAAACCAACTCAAAAATTGGGTCCTATATTAAGGACCAGAGGAGTATAAAATATCAAAGCCCCCGCAAGTTCCATTCGACTGACCCTCAGAGTTATTCATATGTGTAAAATTTGTGCCCTCATCTTTGTCCCTGCAATGTTCCAATTTCAATCCTTCCAACCCGACCAAGAATTTCCATCTCCCAACCCCTTTTTAAAGTTATGATTTTAAATTTATATAAATGCTTAACCAATTTGTTGAACGTCCCATCTAAAACCTGGCAAGAAAAAAAAAGAAGAACGTTTCATCTAAAATTGATTTTGAATATTATTTAGTTTTTCTTTTTTAAAATAAACATCTGGACTCACTGTGGAGATAGGGAGAGTTAAGAAGTTTTTTTTTTCTTGGAATGAAAAAGCATGCAAGAATACAATGAATCATAACTTGGAGCATGCCAAAGTCAAGAGTGAAACAAGAAAACTTCCATAAAAGCAAAACTTAATAGTCTAGCGAGTCATAAAAACAGCCAAGATTGAAAGTACACAACATGAATGAATCGTAAAACGACAGGATGGCCATGCATAACCAAATTGAAACAGAACCTCTATCAGTGAACTTCACTAGGAATTCTATATATGCAACAAAATAGAAGACAGGACCTTCGATATGCGTTAAATTCTCGAGTACTCTTTGCCGCAGTTTGGACATCGAGGCTTTTGGTTCAGACGCTGTCTGAGACAGATCCGATGGAAAAAAATCACCACAATTGACGCGAACTACACCCATACACTTATTAGAATGCCTCTTAGGATCTTCACTACAAATTTTGGAAGCGTCCTCTCCTTTAGGAATAAGTTTATACTTTAGTTCCTTCATCGATAACCTCGCAGCTTTCTTGTCACGATTGATTTTCCCAGCGAATAGCATGACCTATTATGTAAGCAAAACAATACATGTACATATGTTATTCAAATAAATTTAAAACATATACATGTATAGGGTGCTCAAAAGAGTTACAGCGGAAGACTTAAATATACCTCTTGCCGTTAGCTCGATTGATTTGATGAAAAAGTTGATCTGAATGATAAAGAGTTGTGCCCTATAAATAAGAGGTGCCTCCACCCATTCTCTTCTGAGCTTTCCGGTGTTCTCTTCTCCTCTCTCCGGTGTATCTGTGCCATTCTATTAAGACTTTAGTAGCTAGGATATTGCATAACCGACCCGGTACGTTTCCTTTCTCTATCTATATTATTTCCTTCATTGGTATCAGCTATATTATTTTCTTCATTGGTATCAGAGCTTGCTTGATCCTGTGGCTATGCTTCTTTTGCATGTGTTATTTCTTTTTTTTTTTTTGCTGTTGTTTTTTTTCCTTCATGTATCTGTTATACACATGAGAAAAAAAATCACTCCTTTTACAAAACACATGCTTACTAAAATTATTTTTAAATGCGTTATTGCCTTCTTGGTTGTTGCTTTCATGTTGACAAAGTTCTTGTTTTTGGGAAGTTTTTGAGTTTCATAAAGCTTTTTTTCAAATGTTCGAATGTAATGAAAGATTGAAACTTTCATAGAGCTTTTGGGAAAATGGGTATAGCTTTATCCCAAATCCAACAAAACAACCTTTTTCAATGTTTTTTCTTTCACCCGAAATGCTTCTGTATCATGGCCGCAATGTTCATGGAGGAGCATTTTTGGGTCTTCGAAATCGAATCTTTTTGTGTGAACAAAAGGCATGATCGTGTAGTTTGTGAAGAGATACCATTTGCATCCTTGACTTTGATCCCAAAACCCTTCGTATGTGTCTAGAAATTGGCAAACTTTGTAGCTGGCTCTGAAAATTGTGATAAAATGGAGACCTTTTGAATTCATTTATACATTTTTTTTTTCATTTTGCACCTCAAAGCTTTTACACTAGCACGATTAACTTGTTCATCTTCTAGATGCCATGGTATGCAGGTTATCGTTGATGTTGTCATTTATCCTTGATTCAATTTGCCTAAAGTTGTTTGTAGCCTAAAGAATTAACAAAGTGCAAGTGATGAAACATATATATGACATATCACAAGAAACAAGCAATTACACGCATGACTTATCTTCATGTTCATGAAAATCTCTCATTCCTCATAATAACTAAAAAATACACTCTAATTTTACAAGTTGTGTGCAGTTATGACCATTATTGTGATCAAGAAATCTAAATGCACGTATTTTAGTTTTTTTTCTTTTTTTAAGAACGTCTTTAATGTTTTTAGAAATTTTAGTTGTTTGCTTTTTCATTAAAATTAAAATATCATTGGAAGTAGAATAACAGCAGAGACATATATGATAATAGATAAATGAATTACCTTACTTTTATTTGAAAAGATCAGTCACACTGAAAACACAATCGGACCGGGTTACTCCAGATGAGAATATCAAATATGAAACAATGCAGATTAAAACAAGATGAAGCAAGAGAGGGAGAAATAAAGCTCAACACTTATGGTTACACTGTTACAGACGATGATTTATAATTTATGGAGGGAGCCTCCATATATAGAGATGGATGGAGATATTTTGGGAAGACAAAATATTCATATTTATCCATTTAAGATATATTCATTTATCATAATTTCTCAATTAATTAGATAATTTATATGGTTTGAATTTCAATACATTTAAATCTTTATCGTATATTTACGATATTGGATAATATATTAAATTCTAATTTAATTTATAAATTTGATTTGAAAATTCAAACATGTATTGATGGGTAGATTATCCAGATATATAATTGAAATCTATTATATTTCACTTATAGTATTTAATTAGATAAATAACATTATTAAATATCATAGGACGCGGATCCAAAATCTAACAGTTAGTTTAGAAGAAATTAACATGGGGTTAAAGATGAAGAATTTGAAAACATATGGGATGATCAAACGAGGCAACAAGCGTTAAATAGATCTTCAATAGATGTCAAGTGGTATGTGGATCAATAAACAATACATTTTTATATTTTTTTAGAGTGGAGGTTGGAGCAGCTTTTTAAAATAAATTTCGGTTGTTATTCATACGTGAAAAATGCGACACGTCACTCCTTATCCTATTTTCATGGGTGGTAAACTTTTCCTGCAACATGGTTTGCAGATTTGCTGTATTTCCAGTCAATTTTATGAGGATAGAGCCGTTTGATTATTTTTTATATTGATTTCTAAAATAAATATTATTCAAACCCTTATTTTACGTATATGCATGTGTCAGATAATTGCAGAAGATTTTCTGCAGGAGAGGCCTAAATGTTGGTTGAGGATTCGGTTACATTTAAGTACCAATCCAATGGTTGCGCTGTTGTGGTTCCTAAACTCATGGCGTTCTATCATTTTCTATCGATTATTAAGGTGAGGCATGGGCTGTGTTTGAAATATACAAATAAAAAACAGCTTATTTGCAGGGTACGATATTCTCATTGTTTTTGGCTGGGAATTAGAGTTAGCTTTTTTTTTTATTACTATTTGGGCCGGATTGTGTAATAACTATATTGACTTGAATGAGTATCATTATTTTACTTGACGCCTACTGATTTGAATGGGTATCATCAATCTCATATCCAAGTTTCATGAGACAAATAATAGGCTAAGCAAAAGATACATATTGTAAACCGCTCGGCGCCCCACCCAAAACAAAAAAGGAAAGAAAAAAAAAAAGACAAAAGACAGATATTTAGTTGGGCTCATATATTTCAAAAAGCCCAGTGTCCCTGATCTTTTCGTTGACATGGCTGGTAGCTGAATTCTCTCTGTTCTCCGATAATACAAGTCGTCCGCATTCACTCAATTTTACATTCCGTCTCATAGACGGAACAATACCTCCCTCACATACCATCTCATCAATCCCATCACTGTTTCTGTGAGAGGGCTGAAAACATGCCAAGCTAAGCCGTAAAAGGAATGCTCACAGTCTTCTTGGAAATCACTTGTATCTTTGCCAGTTCTCTTTTTGTTTTTCGAATGAGAGACTTTACCAGTTCTATGAGAGCCACCATAAGTAATTGCTCTCATTTTGAACTCATTTGTAAATGTTTCTGCAGCCAAAACATGCCCCAAAACAGGCCAGATAAATTTTCTTTTCGTGTTATCCTCCCATCCATAGAAAAGCGTCTCTAAGTGTCCATCAAGACTGTTACCAAATATGAAAACATTACTTAATAGGTTTGGTTTCCAATTTGCTTCTAAGAGGTTATTGAATAACCCTATATCACAATGTGGCATGAAGAACATCGTTGGTTCCAGAGCTTGCCTCCTTCCTTCTTCGTTGACGTATAAGACTAAACAATCAAGAGATTCTAAAACTTTGATTTCAGTTTTCGAAAGGATGGGATCAAATACTTCTATCTCGCCAACCCAAATGAAATCTTTTTTCATTAATATTGCCAGGCTAAGCTGCAACTGAGACGATTTGCATTCTGAAATACTACCAATACCATAAATTACCATCTGCATCTTTGACTTTGATCCCAAAAGTCTTTGTATACGTCTAGAAATTGGTGAACTTTGAAACTGGATCTGAAAATCACGATAAAATGGAGACTTTTTAAGCTCATTTATACATTTTTTCATTTCGCGCCTCAAAGCTTTTACACTAGCACAATCAACTTGTTCGTCTTCCGGATGCCATGGTGTGCCTGTTATCGTTGATGTTGTCATTTATCCTTGATTCAATTTGTCTGAGTTATCTCTAGCCTGAAGGATTAACAAAGTGCAAGTGATGAAACATGTATATGACATATCACAAAAAACAAGCAACTACACACGACTTGTCTTCATGTTCATGAAGATCCTTACAAGTTGTGTGCAGTTACGACCATTCTTGTGATCAAGAAATCTAAATGCACATATGTTAGTTTTTTTTTTTTTTATATAGAAAAGACTTCTTTAATGTTTTTAGAAATTTTAGCTATTTGCTTTTTCGTTAAAATTAAAATAAAATATAATTGGAGGCAGAATAAAAACAACACACATATATGATGAATAGATAAATGAATTACCTTATTTTTATTTGGAGAGATCAGTCACCTGAAAAGACAGTCGGACCAGGCTAACACACATAAGAATATCAAATATGGAACGATCAGATCAGAACAAGGTGAAGCGAGGGAGGAAGAAATAAAGCTCAACAGTTACACACGATGGTTTATAATTTGTGGAGGGAGCCTCTATATATAGAGATGGATATGGAGATATCTTGGGAAGACAAAATATTCATATCTATCCATTAAAATATATTCATTTATCATAATTTCTCAATTAATCGGATAATATACGTGATTTGAATTTGAATACATTTGAATCTTTATCATATATTTACGATATTGAATAATATATTAAATTCTAATTTAATTTATAAATTTGATTTGAAAATTCAAACATATCTTGATGTGTAGATTATTCAGATATATAAATTAAAGCTACTATATTTCACTCATAGTATTTAATTAGATAAATAACATTATTAAATATCTTAGCAGGCGGATCCAAAATCTAACAGTTAATTTACAAGAAATTAACATGGGGTTAAAGATGAAGAATTTGAAAACATATGGGATGATCAAACGAGGCAACAAGCGTTAAATAGATCTTCAATAGATGACAAGTGGTATATATGTGGATCAATAAACAATGATAGAGACAAGTCAAATTAAAAATTATCTTCTAAAAATAACAAAATAATGTCAAAAATATATACTAAACATTTTTCCTCGTATCTGAATTACATTTAATCTTTCTTATTTTTCGAACTTTTCTCTTTCGTTTAGCTCTTATAGATCTATAATTATTGCTTAGCATAAAATTGGAATTTTTACATTCTATGAATTGCTTGTTCTATTTTTGAATAACTTAATACAGCACTAACCGGACATTTTCCTCGTGATTCCTTGGCAAGGACTGATCATTTCATGTTGTAACTAGAAACTATAACAGGTTGATCCATCTGAACTGCCTTCGGATCTACGCTCATGTTTTTCCTAGTTTGCTTCTCACTGACGGCAATCAAGCTAATTTTACTCGGTGGTTAAATTTTGTTAGTTTGTATACATAATGATATATTTTGTATATAGGCAAAGGCACTGGCGCGCACGGTGCATTACGCCGGTGCCTGAGCCTGGCAAACGAAATGGAAGAAAATAGCCGGTGCTGGCAGAAGAAGTGTGAGCAACAGTCGATGAACCTAAGCTTCCATGTTTCCTCTCTTTCGACTGGCTGACTATTCAGCAACTCCAGCTTCATAAACGACACCGTTGCATCCCAACAAGAAGGTCCTGCTGATAAACAGTATCAACCAATGCTCTTTCCTTCCTACGTGGAATCATCTCAATCTGATAAAAGTGGCAGAGCGTGGTAAGGAGAGAAAGGATAAGAAAGAAGAAGAAACGTAGGCGTGATAGGTCCTCAGAGAAGGGATTCAAAAGGTTTCTCTCTTGGAAAGAGATGATGATGTTGATGAATTGGAAGCTAGACTGAAAACCTCTGGTTGCTGCTGCTCTGCAAAGCATATGGCTTTAGAACTGCAAATATTAAGAGTGGAAGAGAAGTTGCAGTTTCGGTTTCAGGTATGATTTTTTCCTGTACATCTTGTAGGTGTGTGAATTGGTTAATTAGTATGCAGGAATTCGTGTCATCATTATATAACACCTTTACATCCCCTTTTGTCGTCGGAGTTTCTGCAATGGGGTTTAAAAGGAAAATCAATTTTGATTTTGCATTTTTCATTTTCATCAAGCTGCTTATCCTTCCTCACTGGATCCTGGAATGTTCGGCTAGAACTTGGTCTTGCTGATATATTTGTCAGTGTATGCAGATTTGAGTGGCAGGCTGGTTATGGAGAACTGGCATATCCTGGATCATATGGTCAGAAGAAGGGTCTTCGAGAGATTGTGACCAATGGATGCCAGTTCATAGGAAATCCGGTAGAGCCTGTCTTGAATATTTACAGTTATACTTCTCATTTATAATTTATTTTGTTTTTGGGTGTGGCATATCCACTTTTTTGTTTGCTTAGTTCTTTCTCATTGCAATGTGACGGGTATAATGAGAACAAACCTGTGCACACTTCTTGTAGAAGAGAGAAAGCTAGTAAGGTGTCTTCGCAGGTGCAAAACAGAGAATAGAGGCTGAGTGGCATATCTAAATGCCATGACTTCGGTGGAAGCAGCTTACCAAGCTTCCATCAAAACCACAATCAGGGGATGAAGCTGGGTAGTGATGAAAAGGGGCAATCACCCCACCCTGAAAATCCGTCGGTGCCTAGATATATAGGCATTTATTCTACTTTTGTCCCCCTAACTTCGATGTTAACCACAGATTTAATTTGGAAGAGTGAGAATAAGAGACTTAACTCGATGACTGTGGGGGAAAGAAGGAAGATTTTAGATTGTCTGAGGGTAGATTAGCCTCCCGGACGCTAAAACCCATCATTTTATTCTTCTTTTCTTCTTGCTTATTTCTTTTACGTGACGCCCCTGCTGCCATGTCTAGAGGTGAATTTCTGCTTTTATCCCTAAATAATGCATAAAAACATAGCTAACTTCACCTCATTGTCTAGAGATGAACTCTTGCGGATCATGTTGTATGAAGATGTGAATGATCAATGCCTGTTTTCCTTGAGCTCATCAGAGGCACGACTGTCATTGGTCTTCCAATTCCATTGACTTCTTAATTTCACGGGACGATATCTCAACTGCGAGTTTTCTTGAGTAAATAGCCACTTCACTGGTCTTGTTATAAGTGGTCATAGGGAACATTCAAATTACCATTTTAAAAGTTATGATTAGGATGTCCTCACTGCAGCTCTTTGGGTTTGGCTAGCTAGGCGTCCCTTCTGCCAATATAATGCAAGTAGATTAAGGTTTCATATGGGTAAAATGACGCACAAAAACCACAAGGGCGTCCCTTTCTTAGACATTTAGATTCACTGTTGTACGTGGTTCTTGAACATTGTCTTAGTGCTTGCTAGACCCTGTTTAGTTTGGCCCTTTTGCTTCCAGTCTTGTCATTGTAGTTGTCAATAAGTGCCTACTTTTAGCATAATATAGTGTTGGCGAGGTTGTTTGATCTTCAAGATGAGCTTCCACAGTTAATATAATCTCCCAACGATAGACGCTTGTCCTCAAGGATGAGTAGAGAAGTAGACAGTAGAACATATACGAGTGCTAAAAATAAGACTGACATATCAATATATTATTATTCTTAAATAATCATTGAATCACAATCTCCAAAACATAACAATTATTTTATTAATTATATTAATTTTAGAATAAAATAAACTTAGCATCCCTTCCCTAATTAATCCCGTCGTGATTCTCTCTGTGAATATAAAATGTATATATGCTCTTTGCCTGATTACTTTTTAGTCATTATTAGAAAAAATAAAAAGTCATATCGTAAATCTTCAAAATTTAATTATACCAACTCCTTATGAGAGCTCACATAAAAATGAAATGAAAATATTGTTAACTAAGCTTGGGGTCTCGGTTTTCTTCACCCACCTTCCCTGGAACTCGAGAATCAACTTCTCAACATAAAATATTGTACTACCTCATATTCTAAATATAAGAGTTAGTTAACTAATTTGAATATATTAAGAAAGTTTATTAAATTAGTTATTTGTAATAAATCGGTATTATTTTTCCTAAAATATCATTGCTAATTATGTATATTAGCTAGAACTATTATTTGATGAAACATTTAACATGTGCAACTATTACAAGGACTACTTTGAAAATAAATAAATAAATATGAGAGACAAAGTGAATTGAGATCTTATATTTAGGCTCAAATTAAAAGTCAAACTGGCTATGATTCTAAGGACCGGAAATAGTATTAATAAAAAAAGTGTTTGAATAGAAACCAAATCATAGTTTTAAAAATGATTTTACAGTATATGAAATAAGTATATGAGAAAAATTTTATTTTTTTCAAAAAGCACTTTTAGGGAAAACCAAACACTCTCTAAGTTGCAGTTTAAAAATTGAATCGCTCTCCGAGTGGTTTCCTCCCACATTATTACTAAAAACAAGGATGAAAATTTTAGTCAGTATCCCCTTGATTGTGCATCCCTACTCAGGCAGATTCTTGACAGAAAACCTACTAGGCCCATGCTTCAATGAATGCCGCATGTATTGATATTGATTAATGATAACTCATTTATGCAGATTCTTGTTTTATTATCAAAAGTACGTACGTACATATGATGAGCATTAGTCTGATTTATTATTCTTAAACACCAAATTAATAATGCATCATTGTCTGTGAATCAAAATATTTGACACTGCGTCTGCTTAACTTTAGGAAGTTGCAATAGTCAATTCATGCAGAATTTCATCAATGTAACTCTGTTTTTATTATAACGATGTATTACATTGATAACTTCGCATAGATTAAAGATTGAATTTATTTAAAATTAGTTAATGCTTTTAAAATTTTAAAATTATCCTCAATGAACTTCATTACTTAACTGAGGTTGTTTAGTTATTTAGAGAATATCAAAGCGAAGGATATTTAGAGGGGGGAAATTAATACATTACACAAAAGATGGTATATTAGTGACCATGAGAATGAGGACATGAGGGAGCATATAATTAACTTCGTACCGCCTTACCTCCGAAGGAATTACATCTATCTCTGATGATATGAGCATGTGAGAAAGCAAAGATTTGACCAGATTAACTGAGATTTGTTTGGCGGAAATCATAAGTGTTTCATCATGCTTTATGCATAGTACTTTAGCAGTATACTTCAGTGTCACTTATGCATGTATAATATCACTAGCACCAGCACATCGTATAAATCAACAAAATGAACTACGCATCTTTTCTTTAAAATACCTTTGTGTATGTAGAGAGAGAGAGAGAGAGAGGATGAGGGAGAGAGGAGATGGGACTTCAAAGAAGGACGAGGTACAAAATTGAATGGCATTCATCATAAAGACCGGTTAGTGTCGACTTTTCCATGTTCAAACACAACCGCTCTTTCCAGGTTTTTACACTTCAAAATTCTGGCTATAGCTAGTGGAAACCTTAGTTTCTGGTCTTCTCCGCCGAAGCAGACATGCACACACTCACCAGGAAGAGTGCCATATCAATTGAAGCCTCTCCATCTCCAATAAATAAACCCCCCAGGGGATGTGTCGGCTGGCTAAGTTAATGTTCTCAGGATTTATGTATATGTGATGTCAGCATTTTAAAGCAGTGAACAAGTCCCCAGCCAATGTGAATAAAATTAAACCGACCCGATCGATTTTTTTTTTTGGTAAAGGACCCGATCGATTTTATTGGACTGTTACGTGTGAACCAGGTTGTTAACTGAGCATACATAGTATATGCATTAAATATATTGCTGTTGACAAACTCACCTCCTAACGCTCTTTCGGAGAAATAACTCCGACTATTTTTTGGGATTTGAGCAGTACGTACTCGGTTTCGTTATATATAATATATATACATATATATATTGTTCGAATCCATTTATGGTATGGAGTAGCCCAGTGTTCATGTTTTTGCAGTAAAAATCTTTAAATATTAGAGACAAGCATGAGGCAAGTGTGTGTATATATATATGCAAAAAGTTTTGATGATATTCACATTTAAGAAGGACTGGGTAAACAATTAGACATAGAGAATGATGTCTGTCTTTCAATATTGACAGTCATGGCTTTTGCTTTGCTAATATACAACTTTTTAATATTGGAGCCTTGATCTTTTAATAACCTCACCAGGCTCCTCTTGGCATTACTCCTAAATGGACAGTTAGATGCCATGAAGCCATCCACCAGATGCAGGTAAGCTTCCAGGTCATGACAACACGCCATGTCAGCATCTGGTCTCAGATAAGGTGACATCTTCGTGTCCACACGTAGCTCCGATCCTACGTGTGTATATCCCAATGGTGTGTTCTTCTCCAACATATCCAGTACCCCACCTACCTTGGAGCTTCTCAGTTTCTGCTCCGTCTCTTCACTCACAAACATCCCCGGAATCCTCGTTATCACATCCTGCGAATTCACTATTCTCAGAACTTTCACGTTTTTTCCTGTAATCTGATTCCCAAACTCCTTGTTCCCCACCCTGGGCCCTCCAAATGAGAATACAGCCACTGGTGGCACCTCGTCGTCAATGGTGCTTATGTCATCGGCAACCAACAAGGCTAAGGCAGCCCCTAGGCTGTGTCCCGTCACTGTAATGCTTAGTTCCTCTCCTTCGTATGTTTCCATGAGTCTCTTTATTTCTGCCTTCACCGACTCTGCTAAGCTGGGTACGTGGGTCCCTCTGGTTTTGTACAGGCTCTGGAACCCGCACTCTACCTTGGCCTTATCTTCGTCTTGTGATGGCGAGTCGTCCATGTCGCTCAACTGGGCCCTCATGTTCTCCGCCCATTCAAGACACGTTGCTGTGCCTCTTAGAGAGATTACGATGTCTCTCCGTCCCATCCTCGCGATCTCTCTACGGTCATCGCAAACGGCAACGTACCCGATCCAGCTTGATCTCTGGGTCATCCACCCGAGATCCGGAGCGACATCGTCTATCCATTTGGGCAACCCGACTGAGGATGTGGCGTAGAGGCTCTTCGTCACTCGATACGACCTATCGGGAAGGATTACGTGACGGGGCGCCGGTGGCTCCTCCGCTGACATGGCCGGATTGGAGTGAAAGGAATGATAAGCAGCTTGAACGAACTCACCGTACCTGACCACCTCTCGCCGGAGATTCTCATCAAGCGGATCCAACATACCCTTCCAATCGTCGCAGCCATGATATTCCCTCCACCTTCTGCCCAGAACGTTCCTCGGGGAACGTTCCTGGGTCATGGACAGCAAGCGCTGCAAGCGGTTGAGATGTCGGGGCGACATTTCCTCGGTGGCTTTCATTTCCGGCCACATCTTCGCCAAGTTCAGTCCTTCCAGTACGGTCTTTGCCTTCTTTTCATTGTTGGGTTGTTTCTTATCCTCAGTAGGTTGCTGCGGTAATGGTTGCGGTGGGGATGGTAGTTGCTTCGTCTGGAGGAGCTTGTCGAGGTTGGCGAGGTGGAGCCTAGTTGACTCAGATGTCACCACTTTCAGAGAGTCAGTGGAGGAGGGCGCGGCCATCACAGCGGGGTTGAGCGGAGAGGCATGGCACTTGAAGCTGGCGCGTCTGGCCTGAAACATGTGAAGGTTTTGGGCTGGCACCGTTGAGTTGATCTGCATCATCATCGTGCTTGAATCGTAGAAAGAAGGGTTGGTAGCCGAGGAAGACGAAGCTCTGTTAAATTCTGTGCAAGGCGCTTGAGTTTCAATCCTAACCGACGCACAGGATAGATGGTGGGGGCTATATATATATACGGTGAGCGCCTCTCGCCTGGGTGGAATTTACCAATATAGCCGCACATTAGTATAGAATCCTGGCTAATATTGTAATTACGAGTCACGATTGCGAGGGTTGAATTGTAAAAGAAGCTATGAGGTGGACCGTTTCTGCGTGTAAAATATATAATTTCAGAGACAGAGAGAAAAGTAAGAGAACGGGGAAACGCGATTACTCGTTTTTTGAAGCTAGATTGACCGAATTAGCCTTCAATATTTTATGAGGATTAGGAATTAGGAATTATGGGGTTTGACTCTGCGTTTGTTGATTGTCAACTTTTTTATATTGTCAACATATATAGCTGTAATTCTCGTATTGAGTCCTTAACTTTTTTCATTTTTTAATGCTGTTGTTAATCACAAGGCAGCTTCTTAGCGTTTTTATATTCATGCGAGATTGTCACACTGATCGCAACATGCTACGTATAATAAGTTGGTTGTGTTTGGATAAATTAGATGTGGACACAGACTTGTGCGTATGGACAAATTTCAAATTGTTTTCGAAGCTAAGTCAGACAACGTTGCTGCTTTCCAAACTCCTGGGATCGATAAAATTAAAGACAAATGTGAAAGTTGTTGCGTTATTTTTCACTCACTGGCATTTTGATTTTTGAATTGGGATCGCTTCGACATATATGCATGATGTTGTTATGAACTCCGTCTTTTGAAGAGCTCAAGCCTGCCATATTGTGCGTGAAAAGTCCAAAGCAATGAGAGAATTTTGGTTTGAGAACTTTGAAAATTTGAATGAATTAAGGTTGGAGCGATTCAAGTCAAATACTTGAGCCTCAGGCCATATCTCCAAAATTCTCAAGGATAAACACTTTTAATGTTAGTTTGGTCTTGCGCTTGGAATACGCCCTCTTTCCGCTGAGCTCAGGGATTACAATAGCACACAACTCTATATTTGCGTGATGCTGTGCGTATATATGCTTGGATTACAAGTCGTGCTCCCTTATAAACTTATTCAACAAGCAAGTACTTATATATTAAAGTTGAATTGTCCCTTTCCGAAAGAACTCGAAAGTCCTCGTCTTTTGTACACACCTCGCCAGCTTAATTAGCTTACTACTAAACATGAAAAATTCAAATTTCCCATATTGTGCCGGGAAAATTGCAGCGTTGACTGTTTTCTGGCAGCAGAAATAAAATTATAATAAACAATATTAATTTTTTCTCTTGAATTATATTAGGTGCGCGATTTTCTGGGATCTTAATTGAAGATTTTTCACATGACAAGATGATTATATTCGATGGATGATAAGGATATTCATACGCGTACTGTTAGTATAATATAATGGAACGCACGCGTAACGCGAGAATATAGTGAGAGTGCCATCTCATTAATTATTAGTATACGTATATCACGCCGTGTCTTTAAGTGTGGAAGTACGAGTTTTATTATAAAAGAATTTATTTATTTAAGGATACGGATATGATAAGGAAGGGGGGTAAAAAAGGGATAGAGAATAACAGTGGGTGGGGATAAAAAACAAGTATTTGAATAATGAGGGTGAAAATTAAACAAAGGGGGAAGCAGAGATCTCTGATTGGAGGCACGAGGCATTGGGTGGGACATATATAGTGAGCAATATGAAATTACAAACTAAAAAAAGGAGCACTAAAAAAGGGGGGGCCAATGAGGAAGAGCAGCATGATAGATGAGCCACTTCAAAGTTGAAACTGAAGAAGCGAGTGAATAATAGTTGAGATGCATGTGAGGGAATGAAGCTTTAGTGAATTAAAAAAAGGAGGACAGGCATACGTGTTCAGCCACAGAAAAAGAAGAAGCATGTGATGGATTTGGAATCTCTCCCATCTCATATCTCAATCCACCCACCAAAAAAAGGGTAATATAATGCCCCAGGTAGGACATCCATCTCCAATTATTTTTCTCTCCTGTATGCACACTTCACCACCCACACACTCTCTATCTTCTGTTTTATTCCCTTTCCCACCCCTTACATTATACTCTCCTTAGCAATTAGCTGAGAGTTAATTTTTGTTTTTTTTAATACATTTGTTTTATAATAACCCACCTTATCTAACTTATAAATTGATATATAATTTAATTTTATAAATATATGTTACACTTATTATGGTTAACAAATTTATTCAGTTTTTTTGTCTACCTAAACTAGTTTTATATTTCTTATATTAAGAACAGAAAAAATATCAATTAGATTGTTTTGTTCAAGTCAGTTTCATTTTGCCCTGTTCCTTTATAACTCTCCACCCTGCCTGATGCCCTCCAAACCACGATAAATATATATATATATATATATATTATATAATCCCAGAAAGAAAACTGGTTCTTTCATCAACATCAACTTCATTTCTCTGCATTTGCTCGTCTCTTATTTCTCTTAGTCTTCTAATATTTATTATTTTTTATACAATTATTTTATATCTTGTGTTATGAAGTCTGATTCAATTCTGATCAGAGTTTGATCAGACGTACTTAGCTCCTCTAATATAAACTTTTTTATTTATCATGCTACTTAACTTTTGGCCTAATTCCTATCACTTTTATTATTTAATTTGCCTTATGTCCTTTGTAAGTTACACTGTTTTTCAAATTAATTTGGTAGAAATTAGAAAACCAACACATATATACGCTGCTTGTAAATTAGAAAATTGTGGTTCACGTGCTCTCAAAATCATTGGTGCTCGAGATCTTCATCGATCACGTCTCTGAATATTATAATATTTAATACTTCTTCATGCCTAAAGTGTGCAGCCGAAAACCTAGAAAAATTATCCTAATTATAATGGGAAAAAAAAGAGTTACTCCATACAAAGCATCACATGATAATAAATTTAAAATATTATTATTGCTAATCACGGTTGCAATATATAATCCTAAAGTTAAATTAATTATTTAGAACTAATGTGTTAAAAATCTGCGATGCCTTTTTAAAATATCTCCATCATTTAATGAATGACTTCAATGTTGTTTCCAGTTTGGTCGGAATTTATGTGAATGGCAAAGAGTGAGCCCCGATTTAAGTAACCTTGACAGTGCCCATTCACAGTTCTCCACTACGAGTCTACGACCACCGTGCTTCGGCATGGATCACTATCCTGCATTATTCCCATTATTCCCATTCATAATGTCCTCAGTGGTTGACCGCCAAATTAATTAAGATAAACAATATCAAGGGAAGAAGATGAGCTCGCTATTACTACCTACGGTCCTCAATATAAGAACTAATTGACTAATTTGAGCAGATTAAAAAATTAGTTAAGTTAATTATTTGTAACAGATAGGTGTTGTCTTTCTAAAATATTCTTACTAATAAAGTATACAAGTATTACCTTAAAAAAAATAAATAAATATGATAGACAAAGTGGATTAGGGTCTTATATTTAGGACCACAATAAAAATCAAACAATGTCTTATATTAAGGACCGGAGGTAGTATTATTTTGACTTGGAGGGGAGAAGATATACCTATCATCTGATATTATAAGTGAGATAAGATGCGTGATTGGGTATTAATGACCGGATATTACAAGCTGAGTGAAATCGGATATGCAACTTCTCATTTGCATTTATGTCACTGTGCTGCCAATTCAATGGTTTTAATTAAGAAAAAAATTTAGGTTAAGTTATTTATATCCACTATGTCAAGTTCTCCAATCACATGTAGTCATATGTCCTTTTTTGTTTTATGTGAATTTATAATTAAATGTTATTAAATGATGATATTTTAAAGATAGAACATGTAGTTATGCGTGATTGAAGAACCTGACACAATAAATATAAGAAACTTGATGTAAATATTGTCTTTTAATTAACTCGCTTGTTAAAATTACCTTTTGGACGACACGAGACAGAACTAGAACAAACAGAATGGAAAGCACCAAAATCGTGGAATTAATTAGATGACTATTCAAACGAATATCGCAATCACCAATTAAGTGATTGTGATGATGTAGTACTTCTTTAATATAATTTAAAAAAAATGTGTCACTGACTCACTGCCACTACCTTCAATATGCTTTCCTCCATGAATTCTCCATGAGACATAGTAATTAACTAGTGCTACAAATTATGAGATCCTCCTTGATGAGTATTCTAAAAATATCATAATTAAGAGATTTACTTCATCGGCGTCACTAAAATCAACTCTAGAAAAACCAAGGCCAACTAACTAATTTCAAAATCAACATGCAGCATGTAATTATTAATAATCTATGATGCATTGATACCAATGGTACTATCTGTCATGCAAGTTAGCTCTTTTAAGCCGTCTGTAGAAATAGAAATATCAAACACGTATAAAAAATTTTAAGAATTAAAATTTTTGAAGTAATATTTAATATTTTTTTCTGTTCTAAATATAAAAGCCATTTTATAGTGTAATTTATATTACAAAATGAGTCTTATATTTAGAATTGGAGGAGTACATTTTACATACGTACACATGGAAGAAGTATCGATGCACGTTAATATCATATTGATAGGGATATGTCAAAATTCAAACCGTTTGAAAAGTCGGTTCTCTATATAGACGGTGCGTGTTGAACTTAGTGTGTATCTTGCTTCTTGTTGTATTCGCTCGGCCATTGTCACGCGAAACCCTCGTGGCTTTCACCCACCACTGACCACACATTACCCAATTCACTGGGCTCCCTTCTCATTTCAACCCAACACAATCCACATGCACCTTTCCGACCACCAATATGTATCATACTTTCCGTAATTCACCCGTATAGAACAGCGCTTTCTTTCCTCTTTTTTCCCTCCCTCCTTTTGTTAGATTATTTTTAGCTAAAAAATTATGAGCGATTATATGTGTATATATGTGCGCGCGCTTAGTTTAATAATTTCCTGCATCTGTTTTTAGAGGAAAAACACTTAACCTTTTTTAATTAGACAAATTCTTACCTTAAAAAGGGTTTGACCAGGCAGTCTTTTTTTT